ATCCCTGTTTCTGTGCCTGAGTCTTAGGGGCAGGTCGAAACAATGAGGGCCTGAAAATGGCCCTCCGTTTCAGGCTGAAAACTCTGGGTCTGAAAAGACCCAGAAATAGGCTGAAACGAGGTAGGGCCTGCAGGCCCTCGTTTTTCAGCATCCAGGCTGAAATGAACGGGGCCTGTAAGCCCTAAGTTTTAGGCTTTTAGGCTGAATGTCTGAGACGGGCCCTGTAGGCCCGTGTGGCTACGCAGTATGCCACACGGGATCAGAGGAGGAATGAGGAAGTTCAAAGGATGGATAACGAGGGACGTGCCTGCTTATCAACAGTTCATGGGTGTTTGTGTTTTGTTTTTTTTTCCTGGGAGAAACGACGACCAGTAAACGCAGCAGAGATTTCTCGACTCCCTCCCTCCCTCCCTCCCTCCCCCTCCCCCTCTGCAATTCTCCGCCTCTTCCACATTCTTCCCTCCTCGCCCCGCCGCCCCTTCCCCCGCGCTGCCTTGCCGCAGCGTTGCTGCGGCGGGTCCACTTGTTTCTTACTTAAAAGTTAAAACCAAACCTCGAGCAAACCAGATGTATGGGTGTGCGAAAACCTGGCAAGTAGATTTGGTTTCCGGGGAGGAATTTCGGGAACTTTCGGGCCTTTTCAGGGTCATTTGGGCAACCATGACCACAAAGGGGGTGTTGCTCTTTTCTTTTGCCCTCACTGCCTCAGTTCTCAGTCAATTGTTTCACTAGTTCAAAATTTCAAATGCAGCCGCTCGAACACAGTTGCTTGGAAATCCAGGATCAATAGAATCGTTTTGCTTCTTTTTGAGAGCACCCCAGTTGCTCGAAAATCGTGGATTTATGGAATTGTCTTGAGCCAACTACGCGGCGAACAAAAGTGTGCTCCTGACAAGTGAAAAAAAACACTTACCGGCGGGTCACTCATGTGCCAAGTTCAAAAGGCAACATAAGCCGCATGGCACTTCCTAACAAGCGCGGATGTCGTAACCACAGGGGCGGGCCATGGTGTGCAGAGGGCCTGAGTTCAAAAGAATCAAACGCGGCAAAAAAAAATTACCGCTATTTTTGCTATTTTTGCTTATTCCAAACTGCCACCACGACAAACCTACATTTAGTGTTTTTTTTTTTTTTTTTGCCTTTCCGAAACTCAAACCATGCCGCAGACGTAGTTGCGTCAATTGTTTTCTTCTTTGCAAGTGAACCAATGCTGCAGACGCCAGTTACCCTTGTGTGCAATCATGTTTCTCTGTACGTTTCTTGAATCTTTTTTTTTTTAACTTCAAGTTTCTTGAGCCTTTGGTCAAATGTATACCCAACTTGAATCTTGATCAAATGTATTCCCAGCTTGAAGACAATTTAATTGGATACGTATTGTCTCAAAACCTACAGCATTTCCATCCATTCATCAATTTTAGATAAACCACCTTCTTCCCCCGAATACAACGTACGGTCATTATAGCTGTATTTAGCCTGAACGATACCCCAGATACAGGTATAATGACCGTACGTTGTACTCAGGGGGAGAAGGTAGTCGTTGGTTCGAATCCAACCTATAACAGGGAAAACTGAGAGGAAAAACAAGAGGAGGACCCAGACTTGTCAGCTTGCCTGATTGATGTTGGCACAAGTACATCTGCTATCCAGCGCTTCTTCTCTTCGGGTAGCTGTGGGTCCCATTCATAGAACTGAGTTCCTTCAAAGTTGAAGTGAAACCCATGTCAAGAAGCCAAACAAGAACAATAAACACACACACACACACACACACACACACACACACACACACACACACACACACACACACACACACACACACTCTCAGCATACACATGCACATACGCACACATGCATGCACACCCACCCAGCCGCACACACACATTTTCTAGGTTCAGCAACCAACGCTGCAGATATTCTGAGTACTTTCCGACAAATGGGAAACAAGACTTTCTCAGATACCTGGCCGAGGGGCATGAAACATGGAAAAGCATATGGGACAACCCTCAGCAGGGTCAACATGCCCCCATCCAGCTGGGATGGGTCAAAATCCACAGGAGATGCCCTGGTGTCATTTCACTGAGTCCTTTGCAGCCCATTGGCACCAAACAGAAAAAATGGCCAAAAGCACAGGTGTGCAGTGGCCCTTGTTTTTGTGGGCACAACTCTGGTTTTTCCATTTCCTTCTTTCTTTTTCAGCTTCTGGGTCCGGCCAGTACTGACCCAAAACACTCCAAAAGGTTTGGTGCTTGCCTGTCAAGACAATAGCGATCCAGGCCAGGCCAATGCATTCCCAATTGAAGATGAAAGGTTTGCATCCGCGAACACAAGGATGCCCGACAGTGGCGACCTATTTGCCCTGCTTTTTGAAATTTTCAGGGGGGGGGATTAAAAAGATTAGTTGGTAGACCTGTGGGCTGGATGATTTGGTCCTTACCAGAGTCTACACATTTCAATTTGAAGCACGCTGAGCTTCGGCCTTTGGCTAAGATCGAGTGTAGTACCTGTTCTGATCAGCTTAATATCTTTTCCATGGTCCACCGGGCCACAATCAAAAACAAAGGAGCAGAAGAAATAAATACGGCTGTTGATGCCACAAGGCGCCCATGCATCAATGGGGCGAGCTATGATGTAAAACAGATGTTTAAACCACCAGTATTTACTATTTAGCCCATACATCGGCTGCAGGCCCCTCGTGTTAACGTGCCGACGGTGCCGCAACTTCTGGGGCCGGGCCGCCATTCATAAATCTCATCAATGGCCTTTGTGGCGTTTACGGCATCTGAAAGCCGCGGTGAAGGGCCCGCTGCCGATGTATGGGCCAACCCCACTAGTCCATTTCCGG